ATTCGTAGACTGCTTCAGTGGGTGTTTGCGGTCTAACGAAACTCACGACGCCCAACTGTGGTCTCTCAGACGAGCCACACAGCCGGCCGTCTTCTGCTGGCATCGAGGCAGACAGAAATCAAGTCTTAAAATCCGGTACATTGTCGAATTTATACTGTTGGAACGCGATCATGGAGGGTAAGAGATGAATGCAGATGGTGGACTCCAATCCTTTCCTCCAATCCTTTCGTGACTGCAGCATGATACACTTTTATGAGTAAAGTAATACTGTCCATATGTTTTCGCCTGGATGTGATCCTTCACTCTAACGTTGGCCGCTCTCCGTAATATCTAGGCTGGATTTACAGAGATTGGTATTGTAGTTATACGTAAAGCATGGGAAAACATGCTTTACCAATTACACATAATTGGAATTAAATTTATATTCAAGAAGGCCGCCTCCATTTCCTCATTCAGTTTGGACTCATAATGTCTCTAGTGAAATCCTACCTTGAACATTTGAAAGTTGGTCATGGTGAGATGGTCGTTTGAACCCTGAACTCTGTCGCGAATACGACCAAATTAGAGCCGCTAAAGCCGAGTTTCCTGTGAAACCTGTTGAAGGGTTAGAGGTAGCGATAAAAGCCTTAATATCAGAGGAAAGCTAAACATAGTCGGTAGAGTTTTGATTCCACATGGGATTTTCGGCAGAATTTGTAGGCGGAACTACAGGCGCATCATCTTAACTGTGTTGTATCACAGCTAAGCAACTGTGGTTTAGTTTACAGACCCATCTTCCCCTATAAATATCATTTGCAAATTGATCCGTTCTGGCAAAGTCAAATACCCCACTCTATTCAGATGACGATGACGCCATGATGCGCAGGTTGGCGCAGTGTTATTAGTCCGGATTGTCCGCTATCTTTTATCTATGTCTCGAGATTTATTTTACTTCACTTTCATCACTTCACCAATTAAGCATGGTTTGTCCGTATCCTCCGTTCATTTTCCCAATGAGCCATGGTGATCTATTCAGGAGAAAAATGGCGTTATGAAGAGATTTCTTCATGCTTCCTCCTGAACCTCATGGGGACGAATGCTCCCAATAGTCCTGTTCGGTTTTCAATCGAGCTGCGTTTCTCATTGTGCGCAAAATCTGTCACAAAGACATAACAGTTTTGGCAGCCCTGGGTACCACTGATTCGCCAACCTATAAATTTAGTGCTTATCAAAGAATTTCTTTAACACCATATCGTTTGAGGAACATTCACTGCACTCCCTGTCGTTCCTCTAACTTTACACGCTTTTGAATCTTGACCATAGGAAGTTCTCCGTTGCGAGACACTGAATACGGATCACGATATTTAATGAAACTCTGGAAATTCTTAAGATTACGATAAATGACGAACGGAGTACGTACAAAAGTAAATGCGAGGATCGACGCTAGAAACATATGGCTGAACTTTTTGAATCAAATACAAATGAGGATACATTACCTATCGAGAAGATTTTGAGTTTAGTAAAAGAACAACAAAAGGGATAAATTCTTTAATCCACTCTGAGTACATGGCAGAATCTAGAGTCCGCATTCGTATATGATAAAGATAAGGATTAAAGGAATGAGCTCCATTGGAGGAAATCAACAAACTTACCGTGACTAAAATCATGGTGTTATTTGTGCCTTTAGGTAACGAGGCGTTCTATAAATGTCACTTGTCTACACTCCAGTTGCTTGAATTACAATTTCCTCATTAACAGCACTTACAGAAAACACTTATCAATGTCCAATCTGTCTGAAAGCTGAACTGTACATATTTAGAAACTTCCCAATGGTACTGAAGCAATGCTAGTTGCATAAGCCAATAAACGTTGATTGCTTGATTGGAAATGTACGTTATTCGAGCCAACACTCACATAACATTGTGAATCCACACATCACGGATGCCACGGAATTTTTGCCTCGTCCCTCGTTGGGATTCTGTAAGTCTCTACTCAACTGTTATTTGTTTCATTTATTAAACATTACTGTAAATCTAGTGCTTTCCTTTACAATGCAATGACTTCGACCCCGAGAGTGCACAGTGGTTTTTGGTTTCGTACCTCTTGTCACTAGTGACATGTGTCGAAATGAGTTCCAATTATCTCCCACTTGTAATGGCCACAAGTTATGAGGCAGCAGAAGTGGTCATCGCTTTGAAAATTTGCCGAGCCAAATGACTCAATGCCAGCAGGACCGCGTGTTCAGCTTTCTGGAAAAGCGACTCCAGCGAAACACTTCATCACCAGCGGCGCTGGTTCCGACGTCTGCTGGCCATCAGTGTTAAAATCGCAGTTCAGCTTCAAGCGGTTTTTCCGTCGCTCCGTGTCTCTACTAAAAATAAGATCGACCACATGGGCTTTGTGCTATGGATAAAAACGTTTCTGGCAGACGAAAGTTCCACTTGGGCGAACAAAGTGGCGCAGCAATGGCGAGAGTGGTGTCTAAAAAAACAGTCGCTACGGCGATTTGTCAATCCCCTTGCACAGAAAACGATTGAAGAACGGCGATCGAGGCGAGGAGGAACGACCGACTGCCTGCTCGGTTCAGCAGCTCGAGTGAGGCTAGGCAGCAGAGATTAGGAGGTGGTAACTCGCGGGCCATCAAATGAAGTCATCACAGTTGGTCACGTGGTTCCCGTCACTCTCAACGGAGGCAAAAACGATCAAACGATAATCGGGATGGTATCGTCTTTGACTGACGTTGTCCATTGTGCCTAATACTTCGGTGTTCTTCTAATTCGTCGAAGCAGGCCGGCGTCGACAGCGCGCTGCCGGCTTGTGCTTTGAGCCCATTTCTATTACACGGTTGATCAGCGCTGACGTGTTGTATGGCAGGCGAGGCCGAGGATGCGCGGTTTTCATTGAGGCCTGTGAGACTTGCAACTTCCTGAAGATAAAGTTGTTTGATGGCTACCTGATCGCTGTTTATAGACGAAAGCGTTCGGAGAGACAGAAGTGACCATCGGTGTTGAAACCGTCCGCGGCTAATCGGCATATTATCATTTTAATGCCATTACAATGAACCCCTTCTGAAGACGACCCCTTGATGATTGTCTTATGAGAATTGTCTGTGGTCGGCGGAGGTCATAACCTGGCCGAACAGTATCGGTGGGAAATTAACTCGCTCGCTCGGTGTGACTCACTGTACACTCGCAGTGGTTGCTCTTGAAATGGACATTAGCCACCGTGTTCAACCGGAAGCTGCTCTGAGGGGCTGTTATTCGTGGAGCGCACTGGAAGACGAAGAAGAGGACCATTTCAGAGTTCAGAACACGCACAATCGACTTGTAGAAAAAGCCCGCTCTGTGGCCGACTTCTTTCGCTGCCGACTTTTCTTTCTTGTGGTCATGATCTGCGTTTTCCACGTCTTGGGAGCGATGTTGTTTTTCGTAGCGGAAAACGGGGAACAATGTCGAGCAATGGACGAGAACCATCGTCAGACGGAACGACGACGCGAAGAGATGCTGCAGCGAATGGCCAGACTTCAGTTGCCGGAAGACCGGCCGTCGAACGTCGTCGATGACCACTGGCTGAACAGAACGATGGACGCGTTTCAATGGTACGACAACCAGCTGATCGGTGATCACACAGTCTGCAACGATTTTGAAAATTCCCTTCTTCTTGTGCTGACTTCCATGACAACGACAGGTTAAAACGGCTTTGACGTAGCACCTAAACATGTTTATGGCTGTGGAGCACAGCCACAATAGTCGCTAGGTGAAATCTGCCCAAAATACCGCGTCAACAACCAGCTGAATCGTCCCTCTTTGTCGATAGGTGTCTAGAGGTGTAATAAGG